TTATTATTATTTATTTGGCCAATAGCCAATAACAATATAAATAATTCAGTATATTTGTAATAGGAATTTTTTATTGTCACGGAATGCCTGTAACGCGCACTAGGGGTCATCTCTCTGGTGCACGTTATATATGCGGCTCTCTGGTTCTTTTGTTATACTGTTTCCATGGCAATTTGGCTCTTCTCACTTGACAAACTGCCGACCCTTGCCCTAGAACGTCAAGCCAAGTTAACGCCGTAGTGGCTATCCGGCCAACTACTACAGTATTAGCTTGCTGCATTGTATAATGAGTTAATGCGAGATAATGTGTTATTTTTCAAATCATATTTTGCTATTACATCAGTTTATTAGCTTCTGAAATAACAATGATGACAATCAAGACTTACAAAAACTGAGAGTAATTGTAAAAGATATCTAAGCATTACGCTGCACAAATTGTAAATAAAGCTCTAGAAAAATAATACATTTATTCATATACATTTATTCATTTTCACAATCTTTGTCATTGAAAATGAAATAGCACTTAAAATTGAAAAAATTGTAGATTATTTGCTGATTGGGAGGCCCATAAATCGAAGTCTTTCACTTTTATCAATTAAAAATCTAATGATAGGAAGAAAACAACAGCGTTCTTGTCGCTAAATTTTTGTGAGACAAAGGTAGTATATGTCTCACATCCTGTTTTTACTTTTCCTGCTGTTATATACAACAGAGGGGAAATTTGACGATCGGTCAAAAAACTGATCTACCAAGATTTTTTTTTTACATTTTTGGACTTAGGAATTTTGAAACATCGAGAAATGCAAAAATGTTACGGTTTTTTATATGTATGGATGTTAGTGTGCGGGGTGCACGATTTTGTTCACCCATTTTGAAAGCTTAATAACTCCTGTTCCTTTCGTTGAAAATTTCTGAAATTTTGCAAGGAAGTTTGTATATTAGAGGAATTGATGCTATTAAATTTTCTTAGTTAAAGGTTGATGGGGTGGGGAGATACAGGAGGGCGTGTATCATATGTCGAGTGGAGTCGGACTTAAAAATTTTATTCGTTATTAATTAACATTTACAATTTTTTTTTTATAAAGCTTACGCCAACTTAAATCCCAACTCCAAAATTACACTTTTTCTCATTTAATAATAATTAATAATATAAAAAGTTGTTTAATAAACTCTCATAACAGATGACACCACAATTTTAACGCTTGCCGAAAAGTTACGTAACTTGTTGCTGGATTTTTTTAGTTGCTATCTTGTTTGTATTTAGAGAAATCCCTAACATCGGATGAACCGAATTACAGTTTTATTACAAAAGAAAATATACAGTATATATAAAAGAATAAATAAATAAAAGTTGGAAAATTTAATATCGAAAAGTCATATTCTGTAATGATTTCTTATTTATGCACAAATGATAATTTGTGTATAAGTTGCATTCTTAACTTTTTATTTTTCAGGTTACTGCTTTATGTATGCTTCTCCGTAAAGCTTTGACTGCAGTCTACAGATTTTTAAATAACACAGTGTAACAAGATGAGCATGGTTATATGAACATGCCTAAAATTTGGCTATGCCTGTAATAAATGTTATTTTTTTTACATTCGAGTAACTTTCTTTTAATTAGTAAATTATAATCGTGCAGAGCGGCGAATGATCAAAAGTATCAATACAGGATATAGGAACGTCCACAAATTAGCCTAGTTGAGTCAGTGTCTACTTATCATGGACCACTTACAACGGGGAGAGGTCTGGAATCTGGTCATATAGCTTAGCGCCCTAGCCTCTTCTTAAAAAATCGTTCTGAGTTACAATATAGCCTATGATCTGTTGAAAGTGTGTTATAGATAGGACATCATTCAAGTGGAAATTTACAATATCAGGAAACTATTAACGGAAGTAACATTGAGCAGAACGAACAGTCAAAGATATCAATCAAGAACTGGGGTGTGACAGCATCACGAGTCTATATAATTGCACATTTATGATTATTTAATTTATCTCATTACATAAAAAAGCAAAAGATGCGAATAAACTTTGCTTTTAATTTTACATATTTCTTAATCCTGTTCATTTAATATATAATTATATAATTTTCCGAAAAAAATTTATTTTATTGTAATAAAAAATTTTGCAAACTTTTAAAATTAAGAACGAATTCATGATCTTATTAAAATAAATCACTTAGAATTGTTTCATTGGCTATTTAACTTAAAATCTATTGTGACACAATCACGATAGAACGGAATGTTTTTTTTTTTTAAACTCTTTCCGCTCTGTATGGCACTAAGAGGGCCTCTATTAGCAAGCCCATTATGGGTTTGGCTAGATCCACAATGGGGCGGCCGGGTGGCGAGGGACGGGGCCCGGACTGGACCACCCCCGAAAAATTTTTGAGGATTTTTTGACCCGTTCGGATTCGAACCTGGCTCCCCAGAGCAGTAGGCTGCCATCTTGACCATTCGGCCATTCGGCTTAAACGAAATGACTTTGCTATATGTACCGGTACACAGAGAGATTAATGTAACTAATGACTGAAATAATTCAAGAGCTTTCTAAAAAGAAAATAAAATTGGATTTCATTCTTTAAATGAATTTTTTATAATCCACCAATGAATTTTTTTGTAATCCACCAATAAATTTTATTGAAATCGCATTAAAATTTTGTATCCGTTCAACTCGGCTCCCCCAAGATAAAATCCCGAGTGTGCTCGGCCTCCAAGCTTTGTCCCTTGGAAAAGTTTTGTGAGTGCCCATGTTGATTGGATATCCAGTATCATTGTAAAGGGGAATCGGAAATAATTTTCTGCATAAAATTGTTTCTATGTGTAAATGTAATGTGACATAAACAAAGATAAATAAATCAAGCATTATTTATCTGTGTAACTTAGAAATTCACCCGAATTATTTAAGATTTTGTCTTGTATCAGCTAGTTGGGAATAAGCTTCTAGGCTATATCTCCCTGTGGTAAAGTGTAAAAACGATGTATCAGAAAATAGAGTAACGGAGACACAGGAAACGACTGGCTCGGTTGAGGAACTGACTTGGCTGGCCTTTAGTTGTCATATTAAATCTGTAAAATCAGGAAAGTGTTTCTTTCCACGCTGAGAACATGTAGGAAGAGATGCTCCAGGTGTGAAAGTTGATAGATATCGCTGCCTACAAAGTTGTATTGTTAAAAGTGATAGTATTTTGTTTTATTATTTAGTTTAAGTTTAATTTGAAGTCTGGGTTCTCACAATATTTTTTGAGATTTTCTTTTTTGTTGAGAAAATAAAATATTTTATTTAAAAAAATTCAAGCAAGAAGAAAGGATTTTTTCTTGGAAAAAAGAAACACCATTTAGGATATATGCTAAATAATTTTGACATAAAATCTTAAGTGTTAAGTAAATGTGATAACTGTGAAATAGATTAGACAATTGTTCATTGACAATTGTAGGCTTTTACTATTTTTATTCTTAATTTTTAGTTTGTTGAATAAAATAAAGTTTCTTTATAGAAGTTAATTATATTTTTCATTGCAATTTTTCAGATAAATGTTTAACTTATCTTCCACCTCGTTTAAATGTTGCAAAACCTTATATAAATGTACCTCCAAATACACTTCTAATACTTGAATGTAGAGGAGAATATGATACCTATTGGGATATTCCAAAGTATCTTGTAAGTTATAATCTGTTTTTTGCTTTTAAAAGAAAGTATTTCAGTAAATACTAAAAAATAATAAGCTAATTAGAAATATTGAATTTATTTGATGATTAATAAATATTTCCTTTTTGATGACCATAGCATTGCCTTTGAAATAAATGTATCATACGTTAAACTAAGGAACAGATTTAAAAGAATCAGTTTTATCATTTTAAAATTAAATTTAAAATGTTTGTGTAGGTTAAACTGCTGAATTCTGGTAAACAACAAATGTTCAGTGTAAATGCAATACCTGTTATACAGCAAAGAGTGAATTTTACAGGAACAAGCAAACACTGTTTTCTTATGGTAAGGTACGTGGCACGTAACATGTTCCAATTTTGAGAAAACTTAGCAGAGTAAATTTACAGAAAACATAACAGATATTACCGAAGAATATTAGGATAATCTACATACAAACACCAACAACCAGAAATGACAATATTTGCACATGGTAGTTATTGCATTTACCCTGACAAAATGTTTACTAATTAAGGAATGTTTGATTTCATATTGACGTATTCTTCTGCTCACATATCAAAAACATAAAGTAAACTGGAGTTTTATAAAGCAAACAAATAATTTGTCTCAACAAATGAGTTAAAGTATTTGATTTTGTACTTGTACTTGAGTTATTTTATTTTGTCATCGTAAACAATAAAATCAAACAAATTAACCATTGTTATTATTGACTCATTATTAAAGAATAGCAAAAGGGGAAATCTGTGCAAAACCTTGCAGAACAGTTTTACATTCCAAAGTCTACCATTATGAAATTCCTTATGACAAATAATGTAATTAATAAGACTTGAACTAGATGTCCTGAAATATTTACCTCGAGAGAGAAACATGTCATTGACAGGAAAGTGAAGAAAAAAAATCCACAAATAATTGCTTCTAAGCTTGCTGTTGAGGCTTTTGTAGAATGTGGAGTACATATATCTGTAGTAACTGTCAGAAAAACTTTAAAAGCAAGTACTATAAAGATTTTATGCCTATGAAAAAACCAGCAGTATAGGTTAAAGTTTGCAAAAGAGTTTTATACAAAATCAATAACATTTTGGAAATCATTTTTGAGGTCATATGATCTAAATTCAATGTGCTTGGTTCAAATGATTACCTGAAAGTACAGAGAAAAGCTGGAGCATCTTTAAAAATGAAAAGTCTGATCCCTACAATGAAATGTGGGAATTGTTTGGTGCTATTTGTAGTTTTATGTCTGCAAATAGTGCTGGAATTCTGAAAATTGTTGATGGAATAATGAATCAATATGTGTATAAATAGATTTTAAATAACAATGTTCAGAAATCAATAGGAAAATTAAAGTCAGGGTAAGATTAAGATATCAAGGCATGACAATTGTTTTCTAGCATGACAATGATCCAAAGCATACTTCGAAAATCAGTCTATTTCTTGATGTGCACTGTAAAAATGCTTCCTTGGTTTCCACAATCACCCAACCTCAACCCAATTGAGCATTTACAAGATCACATTGAATGAACAATCAGAACAGAATCAATAACAAACAAAACTGATCTTGAAGACATCATCAACAGAGTTTTGAATTTAATAGACAAAACTGTTATAAAAATTTAAATGAATCAATACTTAGTTGTTATCAGGGCAAAAAGAGGCCCAACTTGTTCTTAAATGTATAAAATATTTTAATAATAAAAGACAGAAAAATAAATTATTTATTTTTCTGTCTGAATACTTTTGTGAAGTGAAAATTTTCACAGTTTGAAATAAATATGTATTTCTATTTTTATCTATAATTTTTGCACATGTAAATATTTTTTCTAGTATAAAAAAGCCTGAAGATTTCATATGGCATTATTTTTTTCTATTTCATGTGAGAAGTGAGTTATAACTAGAAAAAACTCTTCGATTTTATAGGTATCCAGATACTTTTGTGACCTAGTGTAGTAAAATTTTAAAATATGAATCTTAGAAATAATATTAATCATCTTGAACTGATGAGTACAATCCTGTCACAAGAAGTTAAACAAGTAAATAATAATCTGGAACAATTATTAATTACATTTTGCAGTTACAATTCAATCAGAAAAAACTGCAATATACAGTTTTTTCTGACTGAATTGTATGCAACAGGTTAACATGTTACTTTTGCTTTCCAGATGCCAAACTGATAAGGCTACTAGCACCTGCATTAATTAGTAAGTAAAACTGGTGGTGATAATTAATTTGAAGTGGTGAAAAAATTTTAAACTGGCAAAATGGTTGGCAATATTTTAAAATTTTCCAGAGTGTCCCCTAACTACTTGTAATAATTATTGAGAGAACAAGAAGCATGCACAGAACCTGAAATTAAATGGATTTGGAGACTTCATAAAAGTGGAGTAACCCAAAGAAATTGCTACTGTAATTAGCCATTCTCAATGTTTTGTACCTAATGTTATAAAATGTGGATTGATGGAGCCACTAAAAAGGCGTCCTGGGAGAAAAAGTTGTTTATCTCATAACAGAAGACAGATTTGCTTATTTACAACTTGATCTAAGTTATCAGCAAATAAACTCAAAAGTGTTGCTCTTCTTTCCTGTTCAACTTGGACTATTTGTTGAGTTTTGCAATCTAATTACCAACATTAACAAAGAAACATAAAAATACTTGTTTTAATATGGCAAGGAAGACCATGAGCTGGATCTGGATAAAGTTTAACCTTGATGGGCCTGATGGTTGGCAAAAGTGTTGACATGACTAAAGAGTTGAAGATGATTTGCAAATGAGTCGACAAATGAGTGGTGGCTCCATGATAGTTTTGGCTGCATTTTCAGCTCAATGAAAGACATCTTTGTTTATTTATATCTTCAAATCAAATCATCTTTGTTCCTGGATGTCTGACCTGTAAATCCTTTGCATTCTGTTGGAAGATCAACTTAGTAAGTGTGGTCACACTCTTGGAGATGAAAATTTAATCTTTCAGTATGATAATGTATCCTGCTACAATTAAAAAAATGATGAAACAATGGTTTTTTAGAAATAATGTTTAAGTTTTCTTATGGCTTGTATACTTCCCAGATCTGAATTTTATAGATAATCTGTGGGAGCTTTTTGTTAGGTCCATTTACAAAAATGGGAGACAATTTTCAATAGTTGCAGACCTGAAACAAGACATTCAAAAATGCAAATTCAATTCCATATTGCATGTATGATGTTATTTGTCACCAAAGAAATTACATAAAGTATTAAATCCTTAAATTTAAATGTTTATTCATTTTTGAACTTATAATTTTCTCTCTGTAAAATGCTGTTTTTTTTTTTTAATATTTTGTTTTTAAATAATCTGTGAGTGTAAAATTATTTAACATATTAAAATGATGGATATAATTGATTATTTTTGCATGTTACCATTTCATTTAAACAATTTATTAATTTATAGTCTAAAAATATTACTTGAACTTATGGTATATTTTTGTCTAGAACTGTATAATATCATTAAGAATCCAGGACAAATATTCAATTAAAAAGTTATCTAGAATAGAAGAAACACTAAAAAATTAAGCAACTGATTTATATTTTGTCCTTTTCACACCCACTTAGGAACAGAACAAAGTCAAATAGGTAGAGTTTCTAGCTTTATTTTTTTGGCACTTCTCTGCCTCACTATATGAAACTTGTTGAAATCATCTCACTGGAGTAATATAATGTAAAAATATATTGATTGGTAAAACATCCAGGACAAATTGTATCATCATCTAAAGTTGTTCTTAAAGTGTGTGAAAATGACAAATTATGAAAAAATTTTTAAAGTTTTTCTTCTGTGATAGAATTTTTAAATAATTATAAAATAGACAATTCTGTAAATAAAGATCATATTAATTTTAGTTCTATTATTTAGGAACCTGATATAAAAGAAAATAACATTAAAATTACATATGGAAGACCTTCATATTCAGAAGCTACTAAACTTTCAATTCAACATTCGCCTGAGAGAACAGGTCTTTATATTTGTTATTATAAAAGTAGTAATTCAATACATGGAAAAAATGCAACAGCTGTATACATATTCTTCAATGGTAAGTTTATATATCTAAATATACTTTCATGATTTTATTTATTAAACTAGCTGCAAGGACCTGCTTCGCTGGGTTTTTATTTGTGGGCAAAAAGTAACGATAGTGAAGATTAAGATAATTACATTATAGCCAATCTTACCCGTTTTCACAGAATGCAAGAATTAGGTCCCCCGTTTCCAGACTAATTAGAGACCTGGTCCTGATTCTATTTCTGAACGTCTCCTGTTCACGTCCGGTCAAACGAACTATTTTCAACGTTTCTGGAATGTTTACGATTGTTCTATAATCGAACCAATATTTGAATTTTATGTTCGAATTTGTTCGAATTAAATTCGAACAAAACATTTGAAATAAAAAGCCACTTTCAACCACTTTCAAGCCCATATCTCCCGCACCCTTATAGCTATCGAGACGCAACCACCCCTATGCACGAATAGAGACTTGGGGCTACTACCACATACAAACACCATTCACGTGCGATGTGTAGTTTTGGNTTTTCTGAATATGCCAGCCATTCCACTTGAATCCAATTTTTTGGGCCATGATCTCATTTTATATCCAAACTTGGTAAATGGATAACTGAAATCATTAGGTGGTTTGTATATGTTGGTTAACCTGTAATGCAGTACTTTTAATTGTAATTTTTAGTTAATTATTGATTGCCTTAATCAACATATTTCTCTTAGTAACAAAAAAGAATAGTATATTTTTGAAATCTAATCCTATGTTTTGCATTAGTTCTTTGTTTTGTTTAACATGGATTTGCATAACATGGCAATTTTTCAGATCGTAACTTCTGTGTTATATGACAGATATCTGTATAATCAATTAGACTATTGGATAAGAATCATTATTATAACATTAAATAAAGGAATTTATTTTCTTGTATATAATAATTTATTAAACTTAAATTATATTACATAATTTGTTGATAATATCTTGTGAACTTTTCTGCAGATTTTTGAAAAATGTAATATATAACAAATTTTGAAAAATGTGATATATAATAAAATTTAATTTTAAATATCACTTTCATATCAAATATTTAAATGTGTAATGAAAAATTTTATTTTTCAAGTGTTTTTCTCATCAGAAAGCATTTGAAAAATAAAATTTTCATTGCTTACTTCAGCATTTTTATTATAAGATTCAAAATTTATAACTGATTTACAAAATTATAATAGTTAAATAAGAAAAGTTTAACTTTTTAAAATAAAATAAATTATAATTTATAATTTTGAATAGAAAGTATTAAATATTACCATATAAAATTTAGCAGTAATTAAAGTTTTATTATTATAGGGCAAAAAAATTATATTCAAAAGCCATTTATTGAAAAACATTCTAAATTTTGGAGTGTTGGAAGTGAAATGAATCTCTCATGTTCTGCTATTATAAATGATGAAAATAGGAAACTTTGTTGGATATATCCAAATGTAAATATAATCTTATATATTATTTTATTAAACATTTTAAAAGTTTGAAATAATTGGAAAGATTGAAACGATATTTCATCAATCCTGAATGTAGCTATGCAATCTTACTAAGGATATCAAACTGCATCCAGGATATTGTTAAAAAATAAGTTCATCAACTGTAAAATGTTTAAAATGTTTTATTTAAAATAATTATAGTAATTTAAACATTTACTGCAAGATTTGATAAATAATTAGCTACTACTGAATTAAAATTCACTTTAATTAATTACTATATAAAATGATGATATACAAAAATATTTGCTTATTTCAATGTATAAAACATTCAGAAAATGCTTTGTTCTAAAAATTCAGTTTGAAAAATTATACACCATAGCAGATAGGTTTGTATTAATTTATTTAGTGGTAAATTACATTTATGTTTCAATTTTAATATCCCATGTTTTTTTTATGAACTTTGTAGATAAATATATTTATTCATATGATTTGTTCTTTCCGATATTAGAATAAATATAATAAAGAAATATCTTGATGTTTTCATTCTTGGATAAAATACAGATTGTTTTTGAAACATTCATAAGTATTAATTAGTACAGAATTAATAAATAAAAAGTTAGTTATTTGTATGAAATACAGCTTTTATTTTTAAATTCAAAAAATAAAACAAGTAAATATTTGCTTTACAAAATCAAATTCATTCATATAATTAAAATGAAAAATACAGACTTAATCAAAAAGATTGTTGTAAAAAGAATTGTAAGAAACACATGTTTGCATTAAAAAAATCCACTCTAACCATTTAAAACATGCTACCACACAATGGGAATTTGAGGAAACAGAGATTATTGGTCAACCTCCTACTCCAACTCCAACAAGGAGGAAATCATCTATAAAGGAAATTCCATTTACCTTATATCCATGGGATGAATTCATTTTAGTGGAAATTCCACAATCAAGACAAGATCTAATTCTGAATCAGAAAGTGAGAAAGATGACAATGCAGAATCCTCAATAGAGGAGGAGCAAATAGAACAATCTCCTTCACATCCTTATGTCTTGAGAAGTCAAGGCCAGTAAACGAACAACTGTGGATTCCTCCCTCTCTGTGATGAAGTAGAATTCCTAAATTTGTTTTCCCTTCAACCAGCCAATCTTCAATGGAAGGGAAGAAATAAAATTTTTATGAGATGCTAAGGGACCTTGAATTTAGAGAGAAAAGAAAATTTTTTTATAGTTAATCTAAGAGGATTTTATACTAAAATTTTAGCCTAACAATTAATTCCGTAACCATTAACAAAATGTTATATGTTTTCTCACGTTCTGCATCTAATAAATTCTCCTTTCCTTTATCCAATGTTCTTCGTCAATCAAGACTCTGAACAAATATGCACATACGAATCCTTCTAAGAATTTTCCTCTTCATCTCAATGGTCTGTGCTCTTTATTTAGGACCAAAAGAGGAAGCTCCTAATTTACACAAAGGCATTGTCTTTGTGCATCAAGGAAACTTTTTTATGACCACAAATTATTGGATTCTCTTTCTGGATGTATCTTTTAGTCTATATGATGAACAGTAATATCTTTTAAAATGACATATTCAACTCCTAGCCACCTTAGTACAGCATCAAGTACGAAAAAATGATCAAGCTAAAGCCTATACACCTTGATGGACCTTGTCTGCCAACAAACTTACCTTTTTAATAACCACATTTGAGGAAAATTAATCAGAATATAATAATTTAAAAACCTTGGTTACTCTCAATGCTACCCAAGGGAAGCATGATTGATAAATGCTGGTGGAAAGATTTTAAAATACCTATTCGAAACCATTACGATGGAAGACATTGAAATCTTTAATGATAATATAGCACAATTATATGAAATTAATGAAAAATTTATACATCTTCATCAGTAGCAACCTTACTCAATGATACCTATGAATTGCAAAGGCAAATCATCAACAAATTTACTCCTTACTAAGAAAATAGACCTTTATAGAGGAAACCTTAGCACAGTATCAATACAATCACAGTTTTGATTCGGCAGTCCGATCCACAGAATTCTCCATTAGAAAATTTTTTTACCCAAATAACCGAAAACCTTAGAACAAGGTTGACTCAGCACTTCCTTCCAAAGTACATACTACTAATACCCTTAAGAAAATACAACTTCACTTACTGGAAGGATACTCTTTCCTGGAAACATCACAGATAGAAACTGTTTAAATATTATCAATGAATCTCTATTACCACTGTAGCATTATCACAATTACTTTGCATTTTTGCTAAAATACCTCTCATCACTCCCACTGGATATTTTGATGTCTGTAAGATAATAAGATTACCTGTATATTACTAATCTATAAAAGCCTTTGTTTACTATAATAATTCATATCCCATTATTGCCTTATCCAAAAATCATTAATTCTACATGTTATTACATTATTATGATATGACCAAATGTCAGACAACACCTATTGCTGTATGTTCACCTAACATTCCTATATGGCAATCACCTAGACAAAGCTGGGAATACTCCCTATATCTGGGCAATGAAAAATTTATTAATCATCTATGTCCACGATGCCTTATCAAATCTTATTCACCTATTTTACTACAAATTGATAATCAAGGAACTTTGACATACTCAGTACTTACTCCTATGAGTTTGATTATCAATGCTCCTCCAATAACATAAAGGTAGCTCCTGTTTCTATCAGTAGAATAAACAACACAGGTGTATTGGTCCTTCCTGAAACCTGCATGGGATATCTCTCTGGAATTATTTTAACATCTGATTTTCAAAGAAAATCGACTATTCAAATCAAAATTATTCATCATTTTATTATTACATTCATAAAAAAACATCATCAATGAAACTGAGTTGGAATTAATCCAAACATGATTAACTCAAGGATTAATACCTACTCCAACTCCTGAACTACAAACAGATGTCAACATCTTATGAGTCAACAGATCCCTAAACAAAATAGAACTTGACTTGGAACAACTCCTCTCAACCCATGAAGACATGATTCATCCTCGAACCATTTCTCAATCACCAACACTCATTACCTTAATTGTGATCATTTCCATTATAGTGAACAGGAGCCTCTCCATAGTGATATATCAATGTTGCCAAATTACTCATCGAATGTCACATCTTTCCTGACATCCACCTATAGAGCTAACAGAATATGGTCAAGATGCCTTGCATCAATCCACGATTACCCCTACACCTTCAGTGGCTCAAGCCCCAATTCTTATGTAAGGAAGCCAAATAGAATCAAGACTGATTTATTTACCTCTACATATTTCATAATTTTAATCATATAAATCTCTGCTTGATGATGACCCCATCAACCAAATCGACTGCAACCTCTTCTCTCTTCTTTATGGATGCACCTGGAGTTCACCAAGATGTCTGCCATCCACAACCAGTCCGATCACACATTAATAGCTCTGCTGAGCTGTCCTATTTGTTTCAACCTGGTTCAACTGCCAGTATACCAGTGCACTAATGGTCACATTGTTTGCAGTGCTGAGAGAGGATCTCCAACTGCCACATGTGTTGGGAGCCTCTTGGACATATACATAGCTGGTGATAGAACAGACAGCACTTGCATTAAGAGCACCTTGCTCTCATCAATCTTTTGGATGTCCAGAACTTCTTCAGAAAGAAAATGAAGGATCACAAAAAAACTTGTTCATTTAGACCAATCAGATATCTCTTTTGTTGATAATCAATGTTCCTGGGAAGGAGAGTCTTCTACCCTCTACTCCCACATCTCCCTAGCTCATCCCCAGATTCCAATCCTCAACCAATCGTCAATACTATTCCTAGGAATAGACACCCAGATCGCTACCCCAGGAACCTGAGCATTAATCTTAAATTGCCATGAGCCTCAGTTCCTAATCACCATTAATAAACAGAATTTATTTAGACCATCCTTTATCATAAAAGTAGAATTTTTATCTAACCACGTTTCAACTCAGAAGTTTACTTATTTTATCAATTTTAAAAAGAGCAGACACACACTCTGGTGGACCTCAACAACAATTGAAAAATATGGCACACACACCCCCTCCAATAATATCTTTAATCTTGAGCTTCCTGGAGCTATAATACAATCTTTTTGCAATGGTAACAACTTCAAATTCATCATCTCCATCATAACTGATTAACCCAACCTTATATTTCACAGATGACTACACCTGTATCTGAATGGTGGGACTCCAACCTTCCCTCTGACTCTCCCTCCCAATCTGTTGATGTGATGGAAATCGAATTATCTTCTGTATGAGTTGTCTTGGTTTTTGTTTGAACTTAACAGCAGGCACAAAACATGCCAGTGACCCTTGATCTGCCAATAGGACATACCTGCTCCCTTCAGTGTAAAGTTACTTATCAAGGAGAAGTTCGACAGACTCAACAATATACTGAACAATGAAACATCACCAATTCAACTCCCCCTAATCCTCAAGCTTTGATGATCTTGTGGCTGTACACCATATTTATTGTAAATATTAATTTAAGTTAGTTTTAGTTTTCTTTGTTCTTTGTTTCTTTTTCCTTCTAGAACTTTCCTTTATAATTCTTTTCCCTTGGGTGGGATTACCAATTCTGGGAATCACTGAGAACAGAGAGATGAATGAGGCCCTGAAGCCTGGGAGAGAGGAGAAAGGACATTCTTGGGTCCAGACCTCGTGGTGGACGTCAAGTATGGTGCTCCAGGTCATGAATGGCAATGATTGGAGAATTTGAGAGAGTTTGAGAACTGGAATTTTATCATGGTTACGATAAAAAGAAAAGGTATAGTAATGAGGTGCCAGGAAGAACTCAGCAAAGACAATGACGATAGACTTTTCAGAAAAAGTTCGTGGTATCCCACCCCAAAATTGTGAAGTTCAGCAAAACCCCAGGTATTTCAGTCCTTATTCTATGCTATCTTCTTTTTTCTATCATTTTTTTCTTTTATTTTTAAGTTAGCATGTAAGTATTAGTTATAGTTTTCGGTCACTGTATATTTGTCACAAATGGTACATTTGTCATTGTACACTGGATTATTGTTTGACACCTTGTTGTAAGAATTTACTGAAGAGTTGGAATCGAAAAGAACCTGTTCATATACATGAAATAAAATACTTTGTTTGATCATACTGTCGTTTAGTTATTGTTACATCTTTCATTTGTTGATCTATGTACATTTCGCAATGAACATCACAATCTGATATCAGCTCCCCTAAGATTCAGTCAACGATCGGGCATCCAGCCCAACCAAATCCCTTGACATTGAATGAATCATACTCATTGACATTAGAATCATCTCATATTATCCTATACCATATCATAGGTTATATTTTAATTATGCTAAAATGCCATATAATATATTTATTTAATCATATAATCTATATTATGTAACTATATATGTTATTCCATTATTTTTTATTATTATTATTTGTATTTTCTTAATTTGTATATTTCCTATTGATGACATTCAAATAAATATTGTCATATTGAACATTTATTGGTACTTCCTTTTTATTACACCCTATTACACATGTATACAGAAATGAAAGAGAGAGAGAGTAAAGAAATCAATTTTGTAAAACTCTTATCCGAATTGATTTCCACTGAAGAAATTATCAATTTGGATATAACTCAATGCGATAAATAAATAACTGATTATATAATGCTTAACTATGGTTCTAGAAAGAGAGAGAGTAAACCACCCTTTGTAACAACCTCAATCCAAAATCCTAGTAAAAATCCAGCATGCCCAAGAAAAACAAGCTCAATTTTGGAACAGTTCAGGTGATGTGAGAGCCCAGATTAAGTGGAATTTTATTACACATTTTTTAAAAATAAAGAATAATGCTTAAAAAATTATATCATATGAGAAGAAAATTCTATATTTTTTCCCCAACAATTAATGAAAACGTGGAAGGATATGATTGTATCTTTTACCAGATTCACTTCCTTTCAAAAGATGACACATCTTCTGAATGTGTCACCAGGAACTTACAACTGAAATTCATCTATTGCCATGACCTATAAACATTACCAAAAAAAAACAATAGAAAAAAATAAGAAAGACCACCTCAATAAAAAGGAGGGACCAACGACAATCATTGTCCATCATCATAGAAAGTTTCCCTTCTCTTGAATTTGCTCCAGATCTCAGATATCTTACATACATTGAAGATTGCCATCTACTCATTCCCAAGTGACTTTCCTTCCATCCGGCAATGCCCCCATTCAAACTGTTGAACAAGCCTGTTACCTGTTACCAAGGGTCTTCAACTGAAATCTTTATTTGTTAATTACATAGTTGCTGGTATTGGTTTAGTTGTCTGTGATGATATGATCCCAGTTTTGGAGAGTTACTAAACTATCCTCTATTTACTTGAGGCCCTTTTCCAGGCTTTAAAATTGATGGTTCAAGTGAGTCTTTGGAATTTTCTAAGCCCTTGTCCAGACTTAACAGGGAATCTTGGAGGTTGGTTACATCAGTGGTTAAAATCAAATGGGTTGTTAAATCACTTGATCCTTTTAAGTCAGCTGGACCTAATGCTATCTTTCTGTCTCATCTGAAATGTAGAGCTGTTATTTTGACTCCTAATCTTTGTCACATTTACTGTGCCTGTTAAGCATTAAACTGTTTTTCTTTGGCCTGTGGTTGGTTAATGTAATCTTTATTTCTAAGCCTGGCAAGAAATCTTATTCTGAAGCCTATACTTTTAGGCCTATTAATCTAATGTCTGTTACATTAAAGACATTGATAAAGCTTAGTAATAGGCATCTGAGGACACTTGTTTGAATACTTGTTTGACATACATGTTAATTTTATATTAATAAGTATGTGTTAGTTAAATTTTTGGTTGTTACTTTTATATTTGATTATATATATATATGTAATGGAAAGTTATTCAAATATTTGTATTTTGGTTCTATGGTTGAAAGAAATTCCTTGTTTTAAACTGTATTATTTTTATGTTATATTGTTTTATGTTATGTTTACCACATGTAGGCCTTTCAACATGGTCAAAAACATTAGTTGTTTGAATTAAACACATTTTGCTAGAATATTATAGTGGTATTTTCTTATAATGAAGTCACGTTTGTCAGTGGGCAAAGCTACTAGGGAATTTGGTGGTTGTCTCATCCCCAATGTTGGCAAATTCTGCTGAATAATCAGCAAAGTCACTACATAAAACACATTTAATATTTTTTTCAGAATTAAGAAAAATACAGAAGTATAAAGAAGGATTGTGAGAGATGGGTGAATGGGAGGAGGTGACCCAACTTTCTGAATTGGTACTTCATATGAACTATCAGTATTAACCATAGATATTAATCAGCAAAATCAGCCTCCATGCCCCCAACGATAATTGTCTAAAAACAGCCCTGGTGTTTGTTGAAGAGATCATAAATAATACTTCAGAAGACATATGAAAAGAAAAGTTTAAAACTAACTGGCAATTGACAAAAAAGTTCCAGTGTCTACTGTGATGATATCATTAGAAATATGCCAAATTTTTACTGAATAAAGTTCTAGAGAATTATTTGATGAAATTGAAGAAAATCAACATGAAGATAATGTACATTCTCTAACAAATGCTCAGATGCAAGAATTTCTGCAAGTACTTATTGTGGCTTACAGTACCAGATGTGTTGAGTTTCAAAAACATTATGAGCACAAGCATTTTATTAATGAAATATTGCCAAAAAACTGGCAAATAATGCTGGAGAAATTACTAAAGTAATTATTGTTATTATTAATAAACTTTAAACTTATATAATTTGTAAACATGTTAAAATAATTGATTTTGATAAAAATAGAATTTCCACTAATTGTGGTCTAATTTATTTCACTGAATAATGCTATCTCTCAGTTATTGTTATCAGCATAGCTTAGTCGCAAAGTTTTTACAATAAGTAGTCCATACTATATTTTGATATAATTATTAAAAAGATTACTGCTGTTATCAAATTAGTTAATTTTTTTTAGTTATATTAAAATATTTGCTTTATGTTAATATAATATTTTATAATTGATAATTTTATTTTATATTTGATTATATTTAGAGTACTAATTTGGAAGAAAATACTACAATAAAGGAACTAGAAAATGGTCTTAAACTTTTGGAATCACAACTATATTTTTCACAAGTTGATTATATGCATGAAGGACATTATATTTGTGCTTACCTGTTTAGAAATAATTGTGAAGAAGCAGTGAAAGATCAAACATATATAACAGTTTATGGTAAGTAAAAGTAGAAATAATAATATGATAAAAATATTTTCTTATAATAAAAATCTTTGTTTTATATTTATCTTTGTTAAATATTCCATATAAAATGTTAACTCCTATTAGAAATAGCTTTCATACATATGGAAATTTTTTACATATTTATAACTATTGTTTTATTTAATGAAAATACGTTTTTCAATTTCCCTTATTAAATTAATAATATCAAATAGCAATGGCTGGATGGCCGAGTGGTCAAAGTGACAGCCTACCGCTCTGGGGGACCCAGGATCAAATCCAGACGGGTCAAGGAATCTCCAGGAATTTTTTAGGGGAGGTCCATTTGGATATGTTGGGCCCTGTCCCTCTACACCCAGTCGCCCCATTGTGGACCTGGCCGAACCCATAATGGACCTGCTATAAGAGGCCCTCCTAGTGCCCACAGGATGGAAAGAGTAAAAAAAAAATATATTAAATAGCAAAAATATAGAAATAGTACAGAAAATAATAAGAATATAAACTCATTAAATGTGAAATGTTTTTCTTAATTAGTGATATAGTCTATTATTACTGAACTGAAAGTTCAATAATAATATATCACTAATTAAGATATTTTACTTATCTAAGTAGTTAAAAATCATTAATAAAACTACATTAAGTACACTATTATCTAATATTTTCATATAAAATATTAGAATATCTATCAATTAAAGTATCTATATCTGAAATAAAAAAATGGATTAAAAAAATGGATCTAGAAGAAAATCTTAGGGATGGTTGAGTTTTAATCTGTGTAATGAAATAAACAATGTATAAAAGTTTTATTGTTTTAATAATTACTTAAAATAAACTACATAAACTTTAGAAATTAAAATTAAGAAAATTGAAAAAAAATATAAATGTTATTTTAAAGAAATAATGAATTGCCTGTTAGCAAATAAAAATCTTATAGAAGCTTATTTACTTAACAAACATAATTTGTTCCTTGAAATTCATCCATTACATGAAACCCAATAAAATGATACCCTTATTTCTTTGAATTCAGAGATAAAATTATGATGCATTCTTAGATTTTTAAAAATAACTCAAATAAAAAAAATATATGAAAACAAATATATAAATAGCATTAAAATGAATAAATTAATAACAATAGTTAAAAATTGCTTTAATAAATTAAATGTTAAACAATACACAGTATATCAATGTTTCAGTTTATACAATGTATTGTTTAACAGTACTGAAACCAATGTTTGTATTTATTCTTATAGAAGTATTTTAATTAATTAATAATGAATCCACTCAGTTACCAAAATTTATTAAAGCATAAAAATAAACATAAATTTTTGAATATTCTTCTCCACTACCTTGTAAAAAAATAAACTAATAAAAACAAATATAAATTTTTGTTGTTTTGCTATTGGTTTTAATGGAATGGACAAATGAATTTAAATCAATTAATTCTGTTTGTTTGCTGTTAATATTTATGCAAATTTAATAACAAATTTTTATTGACTTGATCTGAAATAGAAAACAAAATCAGTTTCTTTTTGGAGTATATTGAATTTAAAAGGTTAGTCAAAAATTTTGTCATTAATGTAAAACAGACAAATCAGCCTGCTTTGTCTCACAGTAGTTCTCCTGAGCCTTCCAGAGCCTTCCCTGCATTGATGCATGCATTGCTGCAACCACTGCTGCCAGTACTGTGTGGCAACGGTGTCTGTATGACAGAGGTGACAGCTGATTGCTCAGTATGACCAGCCTGCTTCTTGCATCCAGATAATAAATTGTTTTTATAACTGGATTTAAGTGTTTTTGGAGTTTATTATACTTTGTGCATCTAGCTTTTGCAGTGAGTAATTTTATTTATTAACCTGTAATTTGAAAAAATTGTCTACAATTTTTTCAAATTATAGTGGGAATTTATAGGTCTACCTATAAATTTCCACTGTTGTCTGTCTAATGTCTGTCCTTCCTTAATCTCGATAACGAAGTTAGATAGATGAAAATCGAGATCAGATATGGAAAGCTTAGGGGCAAGATGCCTCGATTAACTATATATGAACTTTCACTTTGGGTCAGAAGTCGTTATTTCAATTCAAAAATTTTCTCCTGAACAGTGTTAGATATATGACGGCATGATTTCATTGTTAATTAATTAACAAGAAAAGTATGATGTATGGGAACCATACACTACTAAACTTATGTGCATTGAGATAAAAAATTGCAGCCTGGCATTGTGACGATGTTACAATAAATAATTTGTTGTTAGTCAAATGTTTTGATGATAAGTGAAATTTATTTGTTCTCTGTAAAAAGGTTTTTTCTACTATTAATTGCTAAAAGTTAATGTAAAATATAATTTTTTTAACATAAATTATATTCTATGTATTTAACATATTTAATAATAATTGCATAATATAACAAGTGACAAGTCAAATTTTTTAGATTTATTGATGCTGGAACCTGTTGATTTTTTTACAAGTGAAGATACTGTTAAGATTGAAAAAAACGTTGGAGACACTGTAGAATTTACTGTTAATATTAATTATAAAGTGGAAGAGATTGAATTTCATTGGGAAAAAAAAGGAATTTTTGTTTTACAGAATTCCAGAATACATTTTAACAGTAATTCTAAGCAAATTAAAATGATTATTCAAAATTTGTCAATAACTGATTCTGGAAAATACACTGTATTTGTGAGAAGAGTAGAATCTTTTAAAACATTTTCTTTTGAACTTTCTGTACAAGGTAATTATAATTTGTTCTTAAATATTTAATTTTAAGTTTGTAAATTAAGTCTTACAATATTTTTTGATTTCATAATTACAGTGGGTGATCAGTTAACAAACATAATCCATTCCAAGACGTTGTTCACTATCTGAAATGTTCGTTAACCGATTATTAATTTACCATAGCTTTTTATGGGAATTTGATTAATTCATTCTGGAGACTCCAAAAAAATAAAAAAATATATACTTTCTTACTACGTTTATTTATATGTAGTATATATATGCAGTTTTGCATTTTTATTAGTGATGTTTTTTCCATTTGTGAGGGTTAAAGAATTTGTCCAATGTCAATTGCTTTTCTCTCTTCTTCAGGATTTTTCAGAAGTAATTAATAGCATTTTAATTGTAGAGATTCCCAAGCCTATTAACCTCATTCTGGTTTGGATGCCATTTGAATGACCATTGTTCTGACATCCTCCCACTTTTTCAAAAGATCTTTAATAGCAGTTTTTGGCATTGGTCCTCCTTGTCTTCAAAAGAAAACACATCTTGCCAAGTTTCTTGGTGTTCTTCATTTAAGAGTTCTTGAAGTTCTTCTGTCATCACATCAGTTTCAGGTTCCATTATGAGCTCTTCAATGCTCTTTATTTCTCAGATGCAGTGGCGTAGCGTAGTGGGGGCAGCACTTTTTAGGGGGCGGCAAAATTACCTTTTAGGGGATGGCAAAATTACAATAAATAATAATAATATCTTGTAAAAATTTGAACCATTCTAATCTATATTTGCGTCGCACATACGACGGTCCGGGAATTGGCTCACTGTCCGGGTGAACTAGTAATTTCATCCGAGCATATCCTGTGGAACCGTTGACCTTTTTTTTTTTCCTTGTACGATTCATTTGTATTTATATACACCACCAATATCCAATAGAGCTATTTTAAACAGGTCGCTGCACTAGCACGGAATTTTCACTGTTTGTTCTGTGACAAAAGTGAATTTTAGTCTTTTAAATTGAGATACCTAAATAAGGGGGGCGAAATTTTCCTCCGTCCCGGGCGGCTGACACCCACGCTACGCCACTGCTTAGATGTGATTTTCATTACTCCTTTAGCTGCTTGAGATTTCTTGATATATCTTTCATAGCTAAGATTGTGCCTACTGTAGACCTGTTCAAGCCATACTGCCTAGCAATATCAGACATCTTGTGCCCACTCTCTACCTTGGCTATTATTTCTTGCTTGGTTTCTATGATGAGCACAGTTCTTGACTCCAGCCATACTGCCTAGCACTCTCTACCTTGGCTATTATTTCTTGCTTGGTTTCTATGGTGAGCACAGTTCTTGACTCCAAGGCCCGGATGAAATTTGAAATTTTGTATTAAAACGTTAACGAATATCCAATGGGACAGTTAAACTTTCACCTTTCGTAAATAAACCCTGATGCAAAAGTTAACAAGTGCCCGTACGACAGTCTCGTGAAGACTATAAAAAATTATTTGTCAGAAAGGTAAACAAAAAGCTGAAATTACAAGGGAGAGTTTCAAAATTCGGAGGAATACTATCCAATTGGTATTGGGTTGAGCATCGATGTTGATGTCTTCTGAACTCCAAAAGGTTTTGAATTGTCACCTGGAGACAAGAGAAGACCAATTGGTATTTGCTATATTATGTCGCTTCTTTTTCTGTTTGTTCTGTGAAGTGTTCATTATCTGATTTGTTCGCAGTCCAAACTGTTCATTAATCGATCACCCATTGTATTCATATTACATAAGATTTAGCTACACATTTTAGCTTTTTTCAATACCTCTTATAAATAATTAGCTGTAAAGTATAGAATCAGATAAATAGCCATATTTTAGTTATGTAATTATGAAAATTAAAAATACAGAATTATATAAAATAAGAATATTAACTTCAATAATGCATTTAAATATTAATTAAATATAAATTAATGAAACAAATAATTTTAGTGGTATTAACAATTTTGGCTGAATTATACAAAAAACTTTTAAGTTTGAAACATGAAAACATTTTATTTTTTTTTTGTGCATAAGTAGACTTTTGTATTTCAGAAAAAATTTCACATTAACAATATAATTTGTACTTAGAATTTGAAGCTTATTATTAGAATAGTAAAAATCTTCCAACTGTTTTTCTTGTCATCGTTATGTATATGCTTTGATTTTTAGTCTTTAAACATGAATATTACATAATTATAGATATGGATATGTTATCTATGCAATATTAGTATTTAAACTTTTAGTTTTGTTCATTTAAAATGTTTTATGAAAGTAAGAAAGGCATATGTGAAGTATGTCAAGGCAGAATAACAAAACAGAAAAGTGAAGTGCAAGTATCTCTTATATAACATGGTAGTTCCATTTCAAAAAAGTACTGTGTTGTGAAGTCCATGCTATACAAAACAATGGACTAGTGAAAAATCTAGAGTTAGGTTCCAAAAGTATACTATTCTTTTTCCTTACTAAGAGAAATATATTTATTAAAGCAATCAATAATTAACTAACACTCACAATTAAAAGTACTGTATTATGCATTAATATTAATTTTACTTAAACAAGGGCATTTTCTTTTTACAATGTATCATCAGCTTCTGAGCTTTTTAGTTAATCATGATAAGAAATAGCAGCATCTTTATTTTTCTTATTTTTATCATGAAAAGTTTTTATGAATAACAAAACAAAAATAAAAATATGTTATTAATCAAAAATTTATTCTAGCAGGTTCCATTTGTTCAATTGAATACCAAGTAACTTGTTTTTAGAATTTGTGTTCAAATACTGAATTGTTTGAGTTGGGAATAGTTTGAGTACCAAGATACTGCTGTATTTTTTTTTTTGTCACTTTTATGAATGCTTACTTATCTACAGTTAAAAAAGTCTAATAACACTTACCTAAAAATGTTTAAATAAACTTTATTAAATATGAAGATTAATCTATAAAAACAAAACACAGTGACAATCTTAAAGGCTAAAGTCTAAAAACAATGACAATGACACCTGGTTGATAGGAAAGCTAAGACAAGGAATAAAAAATTGTACTATCAGTTTTCATTAAAGTAAATCTGACAAAAGGCACAAAATAAATTTGAAAATTTCAATATTCTAAAATCCACGGGAAAATTTGAGACATGCATGCCTACTTAAAAATTATATAGAATAACAGAGTTTACACTTAAAAATTGTGAAATTTTGTACAGATGATTTCCCAAATTCTCAAACCGTGTTAAGGTAAACAACATGGTTTCCATGTTGTAGAAATGCTGTGTTGTATGAGGGATACCTGTATTATGAACAACAACATAGAAATATCATCTAACAGTTTTATTCTAAAATTATAAAATAATCATGTGCTTCTAACAAAGCTTGAATAATTCAAGCAAAGTATTTAAAATTTGCTTTATGTTATATATATTTGAAAATACTGGACTATATATTAAAGCACTAAATATTGTGAGGCTGTGGGAAGTGTCAGAAATGAAAATAATTCTAGAAAAAACAAAAGGGATGAGCATGTTTTGTTAAACAAAATTGAGGGGCAGTGATCCTGATGATTTGAGTGGAAATAGAACATTTTAGTGCCATAGGTTTGGAGTGAGAGACGACTTGCTTTTTGAATAAATCCTTTAATTTGAGAGATGAGACAAGTATGTGACCATAAGGTCATCACCTCTTTGATGCCTCGTCGGGATGACATCACTCTGTTCCATTCGACTCAGAAGCCTCAAAGATGAATTGTTTTTGTTAGAAATTAAGTCACGAGTGGTTGCATATGTAAGTGATTGGATTGTGGACTATGAGACAATGCAATGGAAGTAATGCACTCAAAGACAAATTATACAAATATATATACCCATTTATTTATTCTTAAAAGTCTACATATAAGATTAATAAAATAAGACTATTGAGCCAATTAGGAAATTCTAGGCACATAGATGCGATAACTCAGTTGCATGTGAGAGAGAGCATTCACAATAGTGTTTGGGGATAAATACCTTGTAGAAGAGTAGGGAGCTGGCGTTTGGAGGTTGGGTCTATAAGATAAAAGTTCTCAAAGATAGTTCATATTCCATAAATCCATCTTAGAAGATATGGTTACAGACAAGAGGGATGAAATATCTGTAGCAGAGGTGGAAATATTCGTTAATGATGAATATCCATTAAATGCTATCTGGCAATAGAATAAATCGATGTCTCTGAAAGGAGTAACTGAGGTACACACACAAATGATTGACCTGCTTGAGGAACTGGCAACAACTGACTCAACTGGCTACTAATTGTATTAAACAATGAAATCAGGACAGCAAGTCATAAGGTTGCAGCAAAGCGTCTTTTTCGACACTGAGAACTTAATGGAAGATATACTCTCAGGTGCAAAAGTTGACAGATATCCTGGCCAACAAAGTTATTATTGAGAAGTTATATTGTTATTTATTTGTTTAACTTGAAGTCTGGAATCTCACAAGTATAATTTACAGCGAATTATCTGAGATCACATACTTGGCATGATAAACAATGATGAAAGTCCTAACTGTTCAGAAATTTAATTTATGAGTTCCAATTTGGTGCAGCTGACATTCTAAACAGAATTTTGTTTGGACAGTTAGAGACCTCTAGACATATTGCTTGCTTTATGATCTGATGTAAACCCTTTGAGCATATAAGCAGTAATGTGACAGTTGTGAATGAATGCCAGATTGAGAAAGGAATTATCACATGTTGGCAAAAATTTTTTGAGCAAAAGTAAAAGATAGGACCAGAGGAAGAGCATAAGACATTAGTAAGATTAAAGTCATCACTTCATTAATTTATAGTTCAATAGATTATTAAATAAGGTTAAAACACAGTGAATGATTTGAAAAAAACATTCTCTCTTGGAATAGGGAGCATAAACTATAATGATGATATGGAACTGTAATGACTAAGAGTGAATCAACATATTCAAACAATTTTACTATATGAGTAGATGGGAAATATTAAATAATTCAGACTCTATATTTTCTCAGACAAGAGATGTAGGAATATCCTAATTGGCTTAAAAAATTAGAAATGTCATATGATGTAAGCATTTCCCAGCTTTCAGTTAAAATAAAAAAATTATAGATGTCATTTAAAATAGTGGGAAGTGATAGATATTTATCTTTTTTTTATAGAATGGATGTTTGTAGAAATATAGTGAATGTTTTTTCTTGGGGTGGCATAGATAAATGAAAAATACAAGATGAAAGTAATTAAACTAATAATAAAATAAAAAGTTATTATAAAATTATTATAAAAAATAAAAAGTTATTAACTAATAATAAAATAAAAAGTTATTATGGCTTCTAGGTGAAAATGTACACATGTTTTTTTTCTTTCTAAATCTGTTTTATATTGAAGACTCAGAAATCTGGTTACCTTAATTATGCCATAATGTGCACGAAGTGAATAGATAAATAAAATATAAGGAAACAGAAATGGAAATAAAACAAACACTAATTTTCATATCATTTTGACATGCCTCATTTATCTCTACAGAATAATTTTTAAAATAATTCTTGATTATCTACTTAATTTATTAATACTGCATTACAACAAGAATATGATTATTGTATGATAGCTAAATGCTTTATTAAACCTTATCAAAATAGGTTTTAAGCTATGTTAAAATCTTGTAGTGTTCATGTCTGTTTGATACAGTATGACACAATACAAACCTATGGCTAATCCAAAACAATATGAATATATTTATGAATATGAATCAGAAATGGTGGATGTTCCAGTTCTTAATATAAAGTATTAAATTATTAAATTACATTTTTTAATATAAAGTGAGATTCCTTTTTAGGAGCCTCACTTTATGTTAAGAGATGTAATTTAATAATTTATTTTGCTTTTAAATTAAAAATATAAATTACATTTAAAATACTTTAATAAATAAGGTTCACAATTTTATATTATAGAATACTTAGTCTTCTTTTTAGTCTTAAATTAAAATTTAAAAATTTATGAATTTATTTCAGGGAAACCAATTATTGAAATTATTAATTCAAAAACAGATTCAAATGATTTGTATATGGTAAACGAAATATATAATTTGACATGTAGAGCAGAAGTTTTACCTGAAGCAACAGTAAAATGGTTATGGAAAGAATGTGATACCTGGGAAGATTGTACAAATGATGATGGCATTATTGATATAACAAAAGAAGATTCTGTTTCTAACAAAATAAATATAACTGAAATAAAATATGATGATGTTGGAGTAACTGTTGTTTCTTTAGTTCTTCTTGTTAAAGCAAGTAAATCTGGAAAATATTTTTGTAAAGCATCAAATAATTTAGGTTATGATAGTAAATCAGTTTTGTTTATTGTGACAGGTGAGTTTAACTTTTCATTTTTTAACTTAATCATTAGAAATATTTATTTTTTATAATAAATAATACAGTATATTACATTGATTCTTAAGTAGGCCAATGGTTCCCAATTAGTGGTACGCGTACCCCCAGGGGTACGTGAAATTGCATGAGGGGGTACACACGGTAATCTAAAATCGGTCGATTTAAAGTTTAAATGCATGAGATGAAGCAATAAAAAAAAATAATGGGTGGACCATCAAAAATTCGGCAATTTACAACATGATGTGGAATGCAAAAATTCGTTTATTTATAACTAAAAATATTCTCGAAATTTCATCAAAAAAATGCATTTGTGACAATACCTAAATGAAATTCTTGCGCAAGAAACAAAAATTGTACAATTAACACAATTTGTGTTAATTGTACAATTATCATTATTATC